CTCAGGTCCTTCCAGGGCCGTGGAGAGAGGCTGTCAGTGCTGATCCACGTGCTCAGGTCCTTGCAGCACGGCTCTGCCATGCCCAGCCCTGCCGGGATGTGCGCGGGGAGCCGCTGCCGTGTGCTGCAGCAGCAGCAGGGATCGGGATCGGGATCGGGATCGGGATTGGGATCGGGATCAGGATTGGGATCGGGGTGTGGGCAGCGCCGCAGAGACAGAGCTGGAGATGCTTCCGGGGCTGGAGGTGCTTCCGGAGGCCCTGGGAATGTCATCCCGCTTTTCCCTGCGCGTTTCCAGGGATTTCCAGAGGGAGAATCCCGCTCTGGGCTGGCAGCGGCGACCTTGGAGGTGCCGGAGGGTGACGGGACACGGGCACGTCCCCACCCTGTGCTGATCCCGGGTGATTCCCAGGGAGGCGATTCCCAGCCTCGGGAATGGCGAGGGATCGGCTGGATCCTCGCCTTGTGCAAGGTCACTCGGGGAAGGCTCCGCCGCCTTTCCTGAATTTGGGATTCCTGGCTCTGAGGAGCTTCCGGCAATCAGGGATTGGGAATCAGGGATCCGATTTTGGGGGGATTCAGGAGGAGAGGAGCCGGGAGCTGCCGTTTTCCAGAGGCCTCCACGGGCCTGGATGTGCTGGGAGTGGAACCCGGGCTGGGAATCAGGGAGGGGGTGGGTGCGGGAGATCTGCGGCCGCACCTTCCCTGGATCCCGGCTCTCCCCGCATCCCTGCTCCCTCTCAGGGCTGTTTTCCATGATTTTCTCCGGATCCCGGCTCTCCCCGCATCCCTGCTCCCTCTCAGGGCTGTTTTCCATGATTTTCTCCGGATCCCGGCTCTCCCCGCATCCCTGCTCATTCTCAGAGCAGTTTTCCATGATTTCTCCCCATTCCCGGCTCTCCCCTCATCCCTTTTCATTCTCAGGGCTGTTTTCCGTGATTTCCCCCCTGTTCCCGGCTCTTCCCGCATCCTTGCCCGTTCTCAGAGCAGTTTCCCACATTTCCCTTCAATCCCGGCTCTTCCCGCATCCCTTCTCTCTCTCAAGGCTCTGATTCCCACATTTCTCCCCAATCCCGGCTTTTCCCGCATCCCTGCTCCCTCTCAGGGCTGTTTCCCACATTTCTCCCCAGTCCCGGCTCTTCCCCCATCCCTCCTCGCTCTCCGGGCTGTGTTTTCCACGATTTCTCCCCAAAGCCGTGCCGGACAGGAGGAGAGGCCGCTGTCGCTCCAGGAAATCCCGTCTGGCTCCCACGTCACTCCCTCACCCCATCCCGCCGCCCTCCCTCCCCCA